CTCAAATGTTTTGACGGATTGGCTGTTTCGCCGGACAATCAGAAAAAATGCATAGTAACAAGCGGATCATGTCCGGACGGGCAATATTTCGATGGAACTCAATGTCAGCCATGCGACCCAAGTTGTCAAACATGTCATGGGCCCGGTCCAGGCAGTTGTTTGGCATGTCAAGGGGGGTCATTGTACTTGGAAAATTTATGTCAGCCGGTTAATCCGACTACTGGAGTGTGCAATCAACCTATTGCTACGGTTGCGAGTAACTGGGTTGCGAATTCAGCCAATGGAGTTTGTGATCGTGAGTGTTTTCGATATAAGACCTGACGTAATCGCCGTTGAATCAGACATATTAACCGATTTGTTCTTTTTGCTTTTCTAGCCTGTCCGAGCAGCTGTTTAGCATGTTCTATCCCCAGTTCCACCAATAATACCGGTAGTCTCGCCTGCACAAAATGCATGACTGGCTTTGTCCTGGATGGAGTAAACTGCGTCAGAACATGTTCTCAGGGCAAGTTTGTTAATCCGGCAGATAACATGACTTGTATTCGTAAGCATTTATTTCATTAGTATTCGGAAACCCTGGTTGCGTACCGCGTTTAATTTCTCCTATTAATGTCGTTTTACCACATCATTCCTTTAAAGCGTGCGATTCATCTTGTGGAACGTGCAAAGGCTCCGCACCAAACCAATGCCTCACGTGTAGCAACCCGTCCCAATTCGCCCTTAACGGCACCTGCTCTGCGACGCCCTGTCCAACAGGCTTTGTGTCGGTTAACACTGCTTGCACCAAATGCCATCCTGATTGTGCAGAATGTAGCGGACCCGGCGTTAGCCAGTGTACGAAATGTCCTGCTAATCGTCCGATAATGACAAAGGACAACCAATGCGTGGAAGTGTGCCCGGTGGGAACGTATGCTGATGTCAATGCAAAATGTCAAGCGTGCGATGGTAGTTGTTCGTCTTGTGTTGGACCTCGTGATGACCAATGCTTGGGCTGCTCAGATAAAAATAAGGTTCTTATTGGAGGATCGTGTAGTGGGACATGTCCTAGCGGATCGACTCTCCTTCAAAGCGAACGTCTCTGCGGGACAAGTGACGGTCTAACGTCACCAATTGCGCCAGTCCCCATATCGTCTAAATCTCTCCCGTGGTGGGCTATCTTTTTGATTGTACTCGCTGCCCTGATATTTATCGGACTCGGTACATATATCGTACATTACTATGCTGTCAGACGGCGGCAAAAGAAAATTGAAGAGTTTGGCGATCAACTTGACGAGCAAGCTGTTACCGAAAATCTGCAACAGCTACAAGCCGAACACGAAAGTACGCATTCGAGAACCCCCAGTAATGCATTATCCGAACCGCAAACATCTTATCAACCGTTTGCGAATAATTTGGTCAAACAAAAAGAAAGCGAAAAAGAGTTGGACACGGAATCGTTCCCACCCGCATATGATCCGCGCGATGGGGAAGAATACTGGAAAAAATTAAAGCGAGCCAATTCGAAGTTATCGAGAAAAGCGTCGATATTGAGTAGATTTGGTGAATCCAGGAAAAAGGACGATTGGGAAGGGTTTGAAGAGGTGACACTTAACGAGAAAGGTGTTGTTCGTAGTGGTAGCGGTAATGGGAAAGGCAAAGCGCACGAAGATAATAAAAGGTCAGGGAGGTTTAGTAGTTGGGGGGAAAATTGGATATAGCAATAGATGTAAATTATGGAATTAATTTCAGCACTACAATGGACAATGATTTTTCGTTATAATAAATTCATTCACTGTGTTAATATTATTTAATAAGTCTCTGTTCACCTAACGTTAACTGATGGTCTCACGTATGGGATATGTTACTTCGATCCCGAGATGTTATTTCGCATGGTTGACATGTTGGCACATATAGATGGCATACTCGTTGCATGGTATATTTTATTTGTGTTGTCGGATACGGTTAACTTGCACCGTTATGCGTCAATATTATGTATGAAAAGAGAGCGAATATATATTAGATTGACTGTTCATCGCTTGTATAAGATTTAAATAGTGCTATTATTTTAGTTTGTCGTTCTAATTTCCACGAGAGTAGTCGGAATATTTTCGGTCATTTTAAATTTTGAATGTGTCAGAAAGCATGCATCTTCCGGCCAGTACTGACTGTTCGCAACGACTTGGTAACAATCTTTTAAATAGTTTTCCCCACAATGTCCGATACATCTTGTTTGCAATTAACAAGCTCAAGTAATATTCGCCTTGCCTGATTTAGTTCATATGTAAAAAATTATTGCGGTGTTGAACTTCTCTATTATTCTTATGTTCGCCGGTATGATGCATAAACGTTTGCACGTAGCGGTAAAGGAGAAAGAGTTAAGACTGGTACATTAGATAATCAAGTAAATTACCATCCATCGAGACAATTCACACTTGTATTTGAGAAATAGGCGTGGGGCAGAATATAAGGGTATGGCTGTACATATGTAACATTTATTACACCTAATTAATCAACCTCACGTTACACTACATCTCAGATGCTTGCGTATTTTTCGTACGAAATTGCTGACATACAACATACATACTAATACTAGTTTTTTTATGCTGCTTATATAAAAATGGATAACAGAGCAGTAGCGGCTGAACAAGGAGATGCCAGTGCTCAATATAGTCTTGGTGTATGTTATGCCAATGGAACTGGAGTAGAAAAGGATGAACAGAAAGCAGTTGAATGGTATGAAAAAGCAGCTGAACAAGGACATACCAGTGCTCAATATAATCTTGCTTTATGTTATGCCAATGGAACTGGAGTAGAAAAGGATGAACAAAAAACAGTCGAATGGTATGAAAAGGCAGCTGAACAAGGATATGCCCATGCTCAATATAATCTTGGTGTATGTTATGCCAATGGAATGGGAGTAGAAAAGAATGAACAAAAAGCAGTTGAATGGTATGAAAAAGCAGCTGAACAAAGATATGCTCGTGCTCAATATAATCTTGGTGTATGTTATGTCAATGGAACTGGAGTAGAAAAGGATGAACAAAAAGCAGTTGAATGGTATGAAAAAGCAGCTGAACAA